TTCAAAAAAAAAATATATATATATATATATATATATATATATATATATATATATATATATATATGTTTCATGTGGTGGGTCGAGCAACAAAGAAAATCACATTAAGCTTTAGACAGTGATAGCATATTCCAAATAGTCAGGAAGAGGCTTTCCATTGAACTAACTCACTCTCTCTGCCTTCATCACCGAGGTTGACTTCTCTACAAAAAAAAAAAAAGCATAAAACCACCATTTAAGGAAAAAAAATAATGTTAAAAGACAACATAATAACAATAAATCCACTGTGACCCGTTTACCTTTTCCCGTCACCATACTTTGATGATTCCAATTTATGACTGAAAAATGATAAATTTGTCCTAAAGCCACAAGTTTTAGCCCTCTTTGGACATGGGTTTTGTCGGTTTCAGATAGAGCTTGATCGTGGATAAGTCCGGTCACTGGACTCTTCGTCCTCGTTCTGATTCGGGGCGGCTCTGTCTTCGTCGTCGTCGGAACCAGGTCCAGAGATGTTCCCGCCGTCTCCCGTGGGAGATTCTGGTAGGAAAACGATGGAATTGGTCCCGTCTTCGAGGAGTCGTGTCACGAAACGTAGCTGAGGGACGTCCACACGCTCGAGCCGGTGGTCCGGGGTGTGTTGCTGATTGAACCTCCCCGGGAGCTTGGAACGAGTGTTGTAGCACTCGCTGCAGAGGTCATACCCGATTTCTTCCTTGCAGTCTTTGCATCTATACCGGTCCCCCACTATGGGATATATCTGTGGGACGTAACAATATAGTTTTCATTGTCGAGGGGAGCTTTCTATTCTGAAAATTAACACGAGAAAATTGTTTAGATGAGAGACTTACTCCGCAAGAATCACAACCGGCTCCTATGTGAACGTTCGATCCAGGGTTCGCCCACCAGAGAAGATCATTCGTAGATGGTAAAGATGGACCTCCTTTATGGGAAGTTTGAGAACCTGGATTGATTGAAAAAAGGCATGACAGAGAGCCATTAGTTTACCTATCCACGAAGATTTAGAAATCCGTCGTTCATTCTCGCTATGATGAGCAAGTCGTGTTCTATGTGATTGACATGCGTTAAAGCAAGTGTTTATAGGCCCAAGACATGCCTATCAGCTAATAAATGTGTAAGCGAGATCCTGATTCAGAGGAGGAAAAAAGGGAATAGATAAAACCGAGTCTAGAGGGCGTACTCCTCGTATTATTCTGGATTTGCTTTCTCTCAGTGTCATTGCTCCGAGAAGTATATTCCTCGGGTGCTATTTCCTTCAAGAAATGCTCAAGAACCAGACATACTTTCGGAAATCCCCTTGGGTCCAGAGCTTGGCATTCTTGACACCTAATCTTCTCGTTTTCTTCTATTGGATTCATGATGCATGCTTTGCAGTATACTGCAAATGGGATTATGCAGAAGTTTACAATGACGGAGTTTGGACAGAAATTCTGAGGCATCTCAGAAAGTTAAAATCTCAACCAAAAGTAAACTTGGGGTACAGTACCATGGCCACAGTTGAGAACTACAGGTCGGACGAGCAGCTTCATACATGCAGAACAGAGCAAATCATCTTTCGAAATCTCTTTACGGTCTTTTTTGGTCCTAGACAAATCATCCTCATCAGCAGTTTCTGCAGCTTTGGATTCTCCATTGTTGGTGATGCATGGACTGTCACCTTTATCTGGAGAACTAGTAAGCGTCTTCACATCACTGGGGCATTCTTCCTCCTTTTGTCCTTTCAGATATTTAAAAATAATTGTTTTCCGCATGTATCAGGAAAAAAGAAAATAAAGTTGTTCTAGAAATTGGCGACAAGAAGGAGATTCGCATGTTGGAAACGGTACCTCCACCAGATATATTTACGGAAGTTCCATTACAACCCGATTCTGCAGCAGTTTTTGGCTCATTCAAGACAGCATCAATCTGTGGAGAAAAACAACCTTGCTCCCATTCTTCCTCTGAAGCATGAAAATTAACAAACTATAAGCAGCAACCATGGAGTTTGCAAAAAGATCACAATAACCATGCATCTGATGTACTCTCCAATTAAGTAGACAGAGGAACAAGAGCCAAGAACTCACTTAGAATCTGTTCCTCTCTCTTCCTGTAAGCAAGAGGGTATAGCTTCTTCAGCAAAAAATGAAGCTTTTGGCAGACAGATGGAAAGTGGAGATAAGGGTCTCTACAGATGGGGCAATGGGACTCGCGTAGACCATTCATGGACTTGTGAACACACCAAAAACATGATAGATGACCACATGCTGCATCAAGAGCAGGAGGAAAAAAAAAAGATCTATGAAACCAAATCCAACACATTGTATAACAAAAAAAAGAGAGAAAAAGACATGATTCTCTAGCAACTAAGGTAACTTACATAGCACAATTGGTTTGTAAAGAAGTTCCCTGCACAAGAAGCAACAACCCATCAGACTCGGTTTCTCGGATAAATGAGATGAAAAACCTATTCGTCATCTTTGTGACTAAAGGAGAAAGCATTCACTGCCTATTACATCCTCCAGCTGATGGTTTGGACAAAAAACTCACTTAACCAAGAATTTAGTATCTTGTAATGTAAATTCTAACACTATCACTTCCATGGCTTAGCTTATGGAATAACCAATCAATGTGGCCAATGACATTAAAATTGGATCAAACTAACTATGAGCATATCCTCCATTCACACACCAAATCCATGAGAACCAAAAGTTACGACCGATTCACTGATTAATCAGAATGAACGACTGGAAACAAATCTATTCACTTGCGGAGAAACTTCTACACCTTGCAATTGGCACTCAAATTTTGCATGTCTCAGCTCAAAAATTATGAATTAAAATCCCAAATCGGAAAACCCTTCAGTAGCATAATTTGACTGCTCACAAGGCACAGAATTCACCGCTCGGATATTTCAGAAACTGTAGGCACGGGGATATTGAGAACTAATGGAAGCAGAATCGATTTGAATCATGAGGTTTATATCAAGTTCTTCAACGAAACTAAGGATATAGGTGTATACTGCCGATAAAAATTAGGCTGCACACATCACAGATTAGGGCAATTTCACCACCAAATTCATCGTAAAGAACAACAGTAGAATACCAGGATCGAGACCAGAGTACGAATAGGATGGAATCCGAACACGAAGCAAGGACGGAATTGTCAAGAGGAAGGCTTACAGGCAGACGCAGCACAGAAACGAATCCGAGATTTCTTCCTCCGTCTCATCGTCCTTCAACGTCCGATAGTCCATGGCCAACGAAAGGGTTGGGATCAACCAATGGAACCGAATCCCAGAAGAAACGCAGAGAGAGAGAGAGAGAGAGAGAGAGAGAGAGAGATTGTGAGCTGTGGAGGATGAAATGGTTTTGGCTTAAGCCAGCTTATGGCTTCCGCTTCTTATGGATTTTTATTTTTAATAATGAATGAAAAAGCTTAATTTTTTAGTAATTGTATATCTCGAACTTTTTTCCGCACAATTTAATATCCGAAATTACATTTTCATAATAATATCTAAATTTTTTCCTTAAACGGTAACATAGTGCTGAAAAAACATTTCATCACAGCAGATATATCATGATTAATTGCAAAAATAATATATTTTATGTTTATGTTTCTGTAAAAAAAATCATCATTTTTCTACCCACCACGTTGTCCATGTGATCATATTTTTTCTTCGTTACACCACGTTAATAATATCGAGTTAGTCATGTTTTGAAAATAATGAATAGGAAAATAATTTTAATAAGAATGTTGTAACATAAGAAAATTTTCAAAATTAAAAAATATTATAAGTGAAGAAAATGCAATTATTCTTAAAAACAATAAATAAATTAGTTTTGCTTGTGGCGGTAATGCTAATATATCCTGACAGTCGTTTCACAAAACGTGAGACACGTGAGTACGCACACGTCATCTCCAGTCGGTGCTTCGCTTTTGCACCAATACATATTTGATTTAAAATTGAATGACCCGTAATCGTAATCGAATTAAATTTAAAAGAAAACTATAAATTGAATATTTATATTATAACCGAATCAAATTAAATTGAATATAAAAATGGAAGGTTATAGTTTAATATAGTGGGAAGGATGAGTATCCTGTTCTAGAATCCATCACCGTATATACATGCCATACATTTATAAAAGAGAGAAAATTTTATCAATTTCTTAAAAAAAAAAAACTACATAATGTAGAAAAGAGAAAAAGGAAAAAGAAAAGAAGAGAAGAATCTCAAAACGTTTAGAGAACTCAGATAAATATAGCTTGATGTTTGTGGGTGGAACAGAAGCAAATAGAGAAGAAACCGTACCGAGACTGAATAAATATAATACACGACATACGTATATACACATACACGTATAGTGTGCGTGTATGTGTGTGTGTCTATATATATGTATATGATAGCCATAGCCATAGCCATAGCCGTGAGAGGGAGACAGAGAGGGCAAAGTAGTGGGAAGGGATTTTTACTTCCAGAGCTTGACGGAGCTGTCGTGGCTGGCGGAGGCAACCATCCCCCGGACAGGAGACTGAGCCAAGGCCGAGATGATGTTCTCGTGCGCTGGTATCGTCATGCTCTTGTTCTCCGCTATGTTCCACAGCTCCAGCGACTGCCAATAAATTTCAAAACCCGAGGAATTCTTGCTTGGTTAGATAACCAAACCGTATAACACATGACTGTAACCAAATGGTTATTATTTCTCTAAAACCTAAAAAACCAAATCTAATAAAATAACTGAAAAAAAACCGCAACTTTCTTTGGAAAACAAGTATTTTTATCAATAAAAACCGAATGGTTATAGTTTTTTCTAAAACCAAAATAACCAAATAACCAGAACCCCGAAATCCCGAAATGGTCACCCGTAGTGTCATTCCATGTACACCTAGTTCGGTTTTTTACCATGAACTGTTTACTTTGTTTCAGTTTTTTTTACCACTTTATGCTGTGGTTCATGTTCATGAACTACTAGTACTACTAATAAGGCTTATATTTGAAGATTTACAGATTCACAATCCGAATCCGATCAGGCAAGTGATAAGAGCAATCATTTGTAATCAGGGGATGAAGCTTTAGAAAAAGTAAGGTCGTTTTTTTTATGGTTTCGAAGGGGAAAACTTACCGAGATTCCTCCGATGACGAGGAGAGTCGGGTAATTAGGATGGAAAACGCAGGAATGGAATTGGTTACCGTTGGAGCTGAGTTCTCGGATGCATTGACCAGAAGATGCACTCCAAAACTTAACCCAGTTCTGACTCACTGACGCCAAGTACTCTCCATTTGCATCCCAGCTTATGTAGTTCACCATTTCACCATGCCCCTATGAACCATCATCATCACATACATCATCTTGTAATTTCACATATTCCTTCCTTCCTTGACACTCGACTGAATAAGAAGGGCGACGATATTTTGGTATATATAGAAGTAAAAATACCTGGAGCAAATATGCTTGCTTATCGGTTTCTACTTCAAAAATGGATATGATTTTGTCTGAAACTGCTGCCAGATATTGTCCTGTTCTTGGTTGAAATCTCACTTGAGCCATCCCTCCCTAAACACGGAAAATGATAAGACCGGGAGAGAATCAACAGGCATAGGTTCTGCGTTAGCATAGTTCCGGAAATGAATTGTGATTGAGATCCCAATATGGCACCCAATTATAAGATCAAATTCAAAATTCGAAACATATATACACGCTCACTCACTCACATACATACATACATGTGTGTGTGTGTGGAGAAACTACAGACGAAGAGCACTGAAGTGAGCAAACCTTGGAAATGCGAGTGCACGAGAAGGGATCAATACTCCAGTAGCGGATTTCGTTGTCGTTGTCACAGAAACAGAAAAGGTCGGTCTTTGTAGGATGGAAGTCTAGGGACACCACAGGCGAACTATGTGAAGTATATGCTTGTAAAGAAAAATTTGGCTGCATCGAAAGATGGGAATGTTATTTAATAGAAAATTATTATAAACTCCAGGATAAAAGCTATACATAACGATGGGAACAGCGTTTCTGATGTTCTTACGTTGGCAGCATCCCATAACCGTACAGTTTTGTCAACCGAAGTTGTTACGAACTGAGATGAATTCGGTCTGAAACGGACATCTGTAATTACCATTTTGTGCTCCTCGGCAGTGTTCTCTCTCTGAAGGGTATCCATATCCCAGAGAACAACCTTCAAGAAAAAAAAACAGATCATCATTAACCGAGGAAGTAACAAAAAAAAATCGGCTCTACTTTATCTGCTGTAACCACGGCTTCAGTTGGAAAAATCACTGAAAATTAAACAACCTTATTAGTTCTGCTTTTCTGCTAAGCTGTCCGATTTCGTTCTTAAGTTTCTCTCTTTCTTTTTTTTTGGAAGATATTACACACTTCAAAGTTCAAACTCTCAAAGCTGGTCAGATGCACAACAAAAAGCGGAAACAGATAACCAAACACTGAGACACTAAGTTACCTTCTTTATACCAAAAAACAAAAGTTACCTTCTTGTCATGCCCAGCACTAGCAAGCAGTTTTCCGTCTGAAGAGAAGTGACAGCAGGTAACCTTGCTGTTTCTTGTCCGTATACAGCCAACTTCACCAAATGTAAAGCCTGAAACGGGAAAATGCCAATTCCCATAGTGAATGGAAACTAAGAATTTTCGTTAATAGCATCCAAAGAGATGTGTATATGGAGTTCCTACCTTTAGAAGATTCCTTCGGGTTGGGAGCTGTCGGTTTTACATTTACATATAAGCTGCTGCCTTCCACACCATTATCATCTATCGGTGCAATATCACCCAGTTCCATATCTTCCTGCGGAAAGATAAACCTTGTTAGTGAGCAACTAACAGATGGCTGGAATGGTTCAAGACATAAAAGAAGAATAGCTACAAAGGCCACCAACACCGCGTTTTGTATCAAGTGAAAAAAAAATCCCTGTTTTTGATAACATACCAGGAAATCAGAAGATGATGGAAATGTTCCAGTTCCCTCTTGACCATACACTGAGGTTTTGGGCATGGTTGCAATTCCATCACCCGGAGTGTGAGTTGAAGGAGGAGAAATTGGGGAAAGGCCTTCGGTATTTCCTGTGCCAGTGCTGTTTGCAGCTCCAGATGAAGAGTTCTGCTTTCGTTTTCTGCCATTCTGTAATGTGGTGACATAGAAATGGGCCAATGTTGATCACCTTTACTTGTAACATAAGGAAATTATAGTCCTGCACGATTATGCAAGAACAATGTAAATGAAACCAGTTCACATGAAAAAGACTAAAACCTGATTGACCTGCGATGCCTGCCGCTGTGAATGGTCTTGTTGAGAAGAAGTTTGCAGCCTTCTCATCTGAAAATAACATCGAAAGACAAGAGGGTTTTAGCTCGAAAGAACAGACAAATCCCTCGTTGGTAAGAGGTGGCCAGAAGTGGATGACATGCAAATAGAATGTCTATGCCCAAGAATACTGTTTCAAAACTCATAACTTTTCTCACCAACATTGCAGTAAAACAAGTTTCTCCTTCAAAGACCCTACTTCAAAATTCATACACTGCCGGCTACAGACCGTTGAAAAGATTCCTTCACAATGGTATTTACTTTCTTATACAAGTCATAAAGTTATTACAAGTGAACCTTTCATTGACCATACTTCATACCTAATTTAGATTGTCAGAAGGTAAAGCCAATAATCTTTTGTTTAAAACTACCTATTCAAAAAGAAAATTACAAAAAAAAAAAAAAAATTGGAGCACAAGCTATTTTCCAGACCTTAGAAGAGTTCGATGGAGCAGGGGAGCATATAGAACCTTCATTCCTAGCTGTCTGACCTTCTTTTGCATCCAAACTCCCTGTAGGCAATTGAGGAAACCTATCTCCATAATTATTTGTATTTCCAAGGCTACCCTGTGATTGTGTCTGTGCTAAAATCTGCTGCTGCTGCTGTTGTGATGCTGAAAGAAGGATATTTTGCCCCTGCATGTTTGGCTTTTGCATCTGCATGGCGATGTTTGGTCGTAACTGATTGATTCCCTGGATGGTTAGAAAATATATCAGTTGTAAACTTGACCAAAGAATGCCTGATGATTAAATCAAGGATATCAGCATTGAAAGGAACATACAGTTAAAGGCCAGCCCTTCAAAGGAAGCCCAGAGATACCCTGGCTCACTCCTGTAGAAAGAAAGCCGAAAGTGTGATCATTTGGTCAGCGCCAGCGAGTGACGATAAGCTATTATTCTTGGGTGTTAAGAAAGCACAAGGAAACTTATTTCTAGAAAAATTAGATTAACCAATAACACCTGGGCCACACAGTCCTGATTTTGATTGCAAGATAGCTTGTCCATAAATGGATGAGGGATCCATAGGCAAACTTTTCTGATTTGAGACTTCACTCTTTATCTCCTGCATAGTAGACATACATGATTGTGTTACTACCTTTTGCACAAGCGACATGACACTTGTTGCGGGATCCCAGAGAACAAGAATACATAATGAACCATAAAGTCAAAGAAATTACAGTAGCTAAAGGTGCCCGTGACCGAATTTGCTGCAGAGCCATAGAGATGTTACCAGGACCACCCTGTACCAACTGGCTGAATCAACAATATAAAGAACTGACATGAATGCTTTTAATTCAAATCCAGGAGAGCACAAATATCTATGGGACATTGAGAATCTCGTACCCTTGGTGATTGGCAGTTGGATTGAGAAGACTGATCTTACTGGCATCCATTAAAGCAGTTGAGGTCCCTGCATCCATAGAATTAGAGTTTTTCATTCGTTCTTCATACATCTTCATCGCCAAAACACTGGGTGGCTGCTGCTGCCCCATCATTCCATCAGAGTTCACAGCATTCATCGAGCTTCCAAGGATAGAGTGTTTAGTATCCCTCCTTGGCAACTGAGCATTTCGCTGCTGCATGAGTTGCATCTGCTGCATCAGTTGCTGTTCCCTTGTCTTCATTTGTTGAGCCTAATTAGAAGATTTATGAAGGCAGGAAGCAACAAGATAAGAAATAGCAGCAAATGTCTAATACAAATTACCACCAAAATGCTGTTCTCACTATTGATTTGTCAGAAAGAATATGCAGGGTAATTTAAATGATCATCCCATAATGGTAGCTTGATATCTTAGGTTTGTATAGGCATCAAAGCCTCCTCTTTGTATGGTCTCCATCAGTGTTGCTAGGGTGGTTGATAAAATGCTTAAGAAAAAAGGGAAAGTTTAAGATTTGGCCCAATTTTCCTTGATCATCAAATAAAAAGCAGGATCAAACCGTCAAGGTAGGTAACAGGGATAGCGATAGATCTGTATTTGTGTATCCTTCTCTTACCCTATTTAGCTATCTAAGTACCCTATAGCTTATTCTAGCACGGGAAACACTCACCTCTATGTAAGCTGCAGCAGCGTCTGAATGCTTTTCATTTGTCCTTGCAATAAATATGTCCCAGAAAACAGACCACCACTCGAAGAGAAATCCTCCAGGTGCATCAATGGCTGTACAAGAAAATCAAATGTCGACCCCTTTAACTCACAGACAAGCTGGGCAATCTTACAAGAAATACCGGGAAAACATATAAAAAAGCTAAGCACAGGAATAAAGAAAGAGACAATCGAAACCTTCAAGATACTGGATGGGAATCGTCTCGTATCCATACGATTTTCCCCTTCTTGACAAATCTCATATCTTTTATTATTTTCAGGAGTCGATGAGTTTTGGTTAAAGACAAAACATCTATTTCTCAACTTAAGTTACACAACTTCTAATGTTTTATTAACTGCTTTAGGTTAATATTTATGTTTACAAAGATTTTGCATTTGCTCCTGGAAAGCAAACTATATGAACTCCACAATTCAACAAGATAATGCTAAATAAGCACATGGCACGAGCTCGGCATTGAGCCGAGCCACCAACAAGTCCACTACGAAGCCAATCCGATCAGATGTGAATTTTGTAAAGAAAGGCACTATCAAAAAGTAATCACAAAGCTCATCTGAAGGAATTCAACAATCCTTCATCAATATCCTTACCTACTGGATCATCTGCAACTTTCCCCTCAGCCATAAAAGCTTTGGCAGAATTGTGCAACTTCCTTTTCAGCAGGTAATCGTGTATGTAAACATCGAGCCTGCATGAAATCGAGAAAAGAACACATCAAACATCAAGGAAAGATCATCCGTTAAGAACACTAGCCGATCGAAATACGCTTACATCTTATCAGCTTCCCAATTACTCTGCGCCATACTTTTGGTCCTTCAGACAATGAAAAAGAATCACAGATCCCCACTCTGCTGTCTCCTGAAACTAGTTCAACAACATTCACATGAATTCGGTTCAGAAAAAGAAAGGTAACAAGCAAAAACGCAAACAAATAGTGAACCAAAAACAAGCACCGTATTTATTGATCACCCAAACACGAATTAACCCAAAAAAAATACCTAGCTAAATTATCTCGTCTCAATACGAGCTCCGAAACTTAACAATTCTCCGACGAAATCACGGAAAAAAACGAACCGTGTTAATTTATTAATTAAAAAAACCTCATAAAGATACTCGAGTAAATGAACCAAGAGCCACAAAGGTGAAAGAATCTAGCAACTATTTTCTGCTCGACCCGACACAGCGAAATTCAGTCACCAGATGCGGAATCAGAACCCAGAGAATCAGCGTACACGATCGTGGAAATTCAAACGGCAGAAACAACGAGAAGAAAAAACCCAAGAAAAAAAACGACGGAGGAGAATTCGTCAATTCGAGCGTACCGAGAGAGAATTCCGGTAGGTGCTCTCCTTTTCCCCTTTTCACTTACTTCAAGAGCTCGAATCCAAAGGAGTTCACAGCCGAGACAAAAAATCGCGACAAAATTTTCTCGGGAAAATCAGTGAAGTGAAAGTGGTGGAGAGAGAAAAAGAACAAAAATGATGAAGCAGCTGCTTGAATGAAAACAAAACTTTTAAAAAAAAAAGAGGAGAGAGAGAGAGAGAGAGAGAGAAGAAGGAATAAAGAGAAGGAAATCAGCGACTTTGCTTCGTGTAAGATCCTACTTGTGGGCCGTGGAATATTTTTTACATAGCTTTCATATTTATAATATTCAGTGTGGGATTTATGAAGACGGCACAATTTCTAGGGTTTCCAACAAAAATAATCCGATTAAATAAATCCAAAATATTTACCTAATTACCAAAATATTATTTTTATCCATCAAGATCGTACAAATATAATCAATAATATGATTTAATATTAGGTAGATAAATATTTATTTAAGAAGAATTCTTATTTAATTAAAGTATTTATTATATTTGAATTAGAGGGATAATATATAAAAGTTATTTTTATAAAAAAAATTACCACAAAGCTATTTAGATTTAAGCTGAAATATTCAAAGATATGACAAAATTAGAAAAAAAATATATTAATTTAAACCCATGAGAGAGAGAACAAAAACACACCGCAAAATAAATAAAACAAAAAAAAATAAATTAATATAAGAATTAGACATGTGTGTGTGTGCATACAATAAAATTATTTGAATTGTGATCATATTTTTCAAGAAGTTCTAGAATTAGCGATTTCACGTTCCTTGGGCATCCCTCGTCACGGCAGTTTGGGACGGTTTGGAAACGGTTAGGCCCGGTTTGGCAGAAAACCGGTGATTAAACCGGATTATGCACCGAGGAAACTAAGGGCTGTAACCACGTCGTTGATCAAGGGTCTAACCGCCGGTTCTTCTTGCAGACACATCGCTGCCACCGCCACCGCTTGGTTCAGGCTCTTATCCTGGAACTTTCCCTCCAGCAGCGGATCGGCTAGCTCCCGGTATCTGCTCGGTTCTCTGAAAACCGGTTGTGCCTAAACCAGATATAGCAATTTTGTTAATTAGTTGGTTATCTCAGGCATACAATTCTGGTTTGAAAGATAGACCAGACCGGTTTGCTCTGTACCGAGGTAAGAAATAAAGAACAGAACCAGAACTCTAGCCATTAGATATTAAACACCCATTATATATCTTAATAAAATTTAAACCCTAATTATATTCAACCATAAATCATTGACATTTTGTATTGAAATACTAATGAAAAAATGTTATGTGAGGTGGTGGGAGTTTCGGATTTCGGTTTGTCGAGTTCGGTTTGAGGATGGTTTAAATCATTTGGAACCGAATGTTAATCGGTTTGGTTTTATTATTGGTTCGGTTCGAAACGGTTTTGTTATATGAATACCAAATACCAATAGAAACATGATATGACTAGATAATTTAGCTTTTGATTCGATATTTATCGGGTTTGATTCGGTATTTATCGGTTCAGATTAGAATCAATTTATTCGGTTCTACAAAAACTGTACCAAATATTATTCAATTCCGAACTAAACTACCGAACAGAAAGGTCTAAAAAGCAAGAAGTGCGTGTAAAAATTGTGAAGGAAACTTACCCAAGTAACAAGATTTTGCTCTTCACTTTGTCTCATGGTGTCGATGACACGTCTTCCGGTTATCAGTTCCAACAACACAACTCCGAAACTATACACATCGGATTTAACCGTTAGGTGACCAGTTTTCTGGTATTCAGGAGCACAATAACCGTATGTTCCCATAACCCGGGACGAAACATGCTGCATCTCCCCGACCGGACCCAATTTCGCTAAACCGAAATCCGATAATTTCGCCTCGTAATCTCCGTTCAACAATATGTTCGACGATTTCAGATCTCTGTATATCACCGGAGGATCAGCCTTGTCGTGAAGATATTCCAGTCCTTTGGCTGCTCCTAACGCGATCTTCATCCTCACGTTCCAATCCAACGGTTCTTGCTCCGGTACAAGATCTGGGAAATTCCCGGTTTAGACTGGAATCGTCCGGTTCGGTAAATAAAACCAAATTATCTGGAAAAAATTGGGATTAATGAATTTTTTTTTTACCGAGAAGATGATCTTCGAGAGATCCGAGAGGCATATACTCATAAACAAGAAGTCTCTGGTCTCCATCGGCACAATAGCCAATCAGATTCACGAGATTGGTATGATGCAATAGACTCAGCATCAAAACCTCGACGAGGAATTCTCTGTGTCCCTGTAATCCATTCCGGTCGAGTTGTTTCACTGCAACGATCTGATCAAAACAAAAAAAAAGTTGTCTTTATCTGTTATTTCTTCAGACAAGAACATGCATGGCTGTGTTTTTCGTTTTTTTTACCTGTCCTGTTTCCTCGAGAGTTCCCTTGTAAACTCTCCCGAACCCTCCTTCTCCGATGAGACACGCCTGTCGGAAATTCTTTGTCGCGGCAGCTAGTTCCCGGAACGTGAATGTCTCCGCCGCGATATTGTTCGGAGCTTCTTTGTTAATGGCGTCTGCGTTCTTGGTCTTGGCGGTTCCAGCTGGGTTGGGGTTTTCTGATAAACAAAAAACGCAAGAAGATTGAAAATTTTCAAAGACCCAGAATTCTTCAGCTAAAAACAAGCGTGCCCATGTCGGAAAGTCTCGAACTTACGTGACTGCGGATTCGGTCCTGTGTAAGGAGAAGCCACGACGGGTTGTCTGAAGGAGTGATTGTTGTGCGACGAGAAACACCCGAAACAACTCATCTCTATAGAATCAAACTATACACAAAACCCTTCTGGTTTCTACAACTCTTTATAACGTTTCCTATATAATATATATATATGTGTGTACGTATATCTCAAGAACCGATATTTTTTATACGAGGAACATGGAAAAGACAAGAGATTCAGAGGAAGAAGTGAAAGGGTCTGAAATGGGTTCGATTCATTCTTCTTTTTTCTTATTATTGTTTCTCCGTTTTCTCATGTTGTGTGGTGAATTAATATAGCTGGTTTTTGTTTGTTGTTAATGGAGGTTGTTTCGCCATTCTTTAACAGAAGGAAGGAAGAATTTGTTTCGTCATTCTTCATGGAAAAAAAAAACCCGAAGAGGGGGCAAAACTAATTGAACAGAAATCTTTGCCGGATTTTCCAAAAATAAACCAAGATTTATAAAAACATATTATATCGAAATACCGAAGCTGTTCCTGTCTTGGAAATTCAAGCCTTTTCTCCTGTAAATTCGGTCGAGAATTAATTGGAATTTCATTAGAATATAAAGCTTGCTTTAATCTTCGTGCACCCAACTATAGACAGTAGTAGTTCGACGCCAAAATGCCATGGCTGGATCCCAATCCATTCCACCCGACTCGGTCCGTTTTTTGGGGAGCCAAAAATTGTTTGGCTCAGCTAACCTTAGACCATGAATCAAATGAAGCGGATTACGAGCAAATACATAATTAAAAAATAAAATTAATTTAAATACTAAAAAATATTTAAAAATATTATAAATATTCTAAAATTTTAAAAATTTATAATATAATAAAATATTAAAATATTTAAAATTAGGAAAAAAATATTTTTTCTGGTTCCCGGACCATCTCATAGGCTCGCCATGAGGTGGCTCGTACGACCCGTTTTTTCAGTATATATATATATATATATGTGTGTGTGTGTGTGATATATATGTTTTTGTAAATAATTCGTGGCACTAAGGATGAAAAGAACGTAAGAAAGAGAAGGGAAAACATACATTTTTTTAAGATCGAAGGATTAATATAAGAATTTTTTTTAAGATATATCTGGAGAATATAGTTTCACAGATATATATATATACAGCTCTTTAAAATAAAATTTTCTAGATAGTGTACGTATCGATTTTCATAAGATTAATATAATGGAAAAAAATCAAGGAATTATTTGAATATCAGAATTGTTCTAAATTCGGTTTTAGTATTTTATTTTTATTAAAGAAAAGAACATCATTTACATTCTCGTTGAGAACTTTTAGAAAATGATAACACACTTCTTAAAAAATGGAAATAATATATATCTCTCTCAAATTAAAGTTAATCCTACAAAAAATCCTAAACTTGTTAAAAACTTCCACAAAAAATACAAATTTACCATTTTTTTTCATATAAAACATTTGATTTGTTTGACAAAAAATTTTGCTCGTTTGATACGATAGATTGCTGACATGACGTTGATTGAATTGACACTTTAGTACCACATCATTATTTTAAAAATTAAAATATAAATTTCTAATTTTGGGTCAAATATATATACATATATATTTGTATATATATTAAGTTTGTAATTTAAAATTTTAAATATACAAATATATATACATACCTACATACATATATTTTTTTCAAATATATATTTGTATATATATTAAGTTTGTAATTTAAAATTTTAAATATACAAATATTTTAATCAAATATATAAATTTACATATATATATATATATAAATATATGTTAATCAAATGTATAAATTTAAATATATATATATATATATATATATATATATTTGTACATATATATTTTTATCAAATATTTTAATTTTTAAAATGATGACGTGACCCTGACACGATAACTCAGTCAATGCCATGTGAGCAATCTATCGTGCCACGTCAACAAAACTTTTGGTCAAACAAGTCAAAAGTTTTATACGAAAGAAAATAGTAAGTTTATACTTTTTTGTAGAAGTTTTTACCAAATTTAGGATTTTTTTTTATGGAGATTACAAGTTAAGGGTCTTATATGGAACATTTTAATAAGTTTGAGATTTTTTGTGGAATTAACTCTATGAAATTACTGTCATTTTAGATTTTTTTTAAAAAAAACATAAAGAGAAAATATTTAATTTTATTCCATGGAAATACAGGCAAATAAAGATAATGATTGATGGCCATATAATTCAACAACAGAGAAATGATTCAATTATAATTATCAAATCATTACTTTTTTTTTCTTATATCATATATTTTGGTTTTTTGTTGAACAACTGTACTTTGAGGTGACAAAAAGCAAAGTAGGACGCTTTTCTTGTCGAATAATTTTGCATCTTAGCTTCGGTCATTAGATAGAAAATAAAATTTAGGATTGCAATTTTCTCTCTTTTCTTACACAAGTTTTTCTTAATTTTTTTAACTGGTCCATCGCCTAAAAGTAACGAATTTTCAAAAAACAATCATATAAAATCATCAATTTTATAATATATATATAAAATCATGATCATTATAAATCTTATCATATTTCCAAATTTTTTTAAATTTTACGAATTTTATATCTTTCTATAAAACCATGAACTTATGAATTTTGTAGGAATACGACAAATTAATAAAATTCATGATTTTATATAAAGTTGCAAAGTTCATGATTTGATATAAAACTATTTTTTTTTATAATTCGTGATTTTTTTAGGGGATTGTCCCTTTTAAAAGTTAACAACAAATTCAATGATCGATTTTAATAGAAGAAAAATCATACAAAGAATTGTACGTCAATTGTACGACAGCAATCACCACATTGAGATAACTTTTTCCTTAAACCGCGATTTTCGTTTCACTTATTTTGGTACGGTACCCCTAAACTCATATTCACCAAGTTGATCATATATATATGAATCTAAATTAACAAGAATAAGAATTAAGAATGCATGTGTATATTAGTTCGTGCATATATATATATATATATAATATAATATAACTTGAGAAATTCAACGATCTACTAAATGGTTATTCAGCCAAAATCTCAAGATCTTCATCTTAACAAGTAAAGGCTCGAAAAAATAATAATTACCATTGATACAAAGTGGGAATATATATTACACACGTGATAACGAAACAATAATAGGTAATATAAATACTATCCCCTCTAAAAGATAATATTTATATATGTGAAGTATATCTACAAATTATAACGCAATCTTCCGAGAAAAGATTTGATCTAATTGGTATATATTTCGTTATTTAGATCCCCTAATCAAGTTTCCTAACAAAATAAATTAATGTTCATGAGAGAACAATATTGCTTCTATGACATCATGCATTAATTTGTGGATATAGAGACTTAGATATTTGTATTTATATGTTACATAATGAACTATTTATATACGTAACGGAAATAGATTGCTTAAAAAAATACACATGAAAAATAGAGTATCCAATGTCTTCTTTCTATACAGTTCTAACTTAAAAAAATAAAAAGATGAAGAAACGAAAAAACAACAGAGGCAAATAAAACAATAGAATCCATATAACCATAAACCCATATATATACACACACATACACACATTGCAAACTCATCCAAATCCAATATCTCAAAATAAAAAAAGACCAATCACAAATTAGACTCACCTAGTTCGAAATCGGGTTCGGACCGCTTGGAACTTCGTGCGCATCAGCTCCAAACTGGTCTCTCCTCTTCGAAGTCGAAGAAGAAGAAGCACGTGCCTGTCGTGTGCTCGTCTGGGCATTTGGATGCAAATCCATGGTTGATGAGACTGGAGTGGAAGATTCGAGAAGAACCCTCTTGAAAGGTGACGCGGGTATGGCCATAGAGCCCATAGTATACGATGATTGGTGACGAGTTATTGGATTTGTAGGGCTAATGATGACGAAGAGGCGGAGAAAGAGGAAGATCAAAGTGGTGAGGAGAAGGAGTAGAAGAACAACGGAATTTGATTTGGTGTTGGTTTGATAATTCAAATTCGAAGTTGCCATGCAAATTATGAAAAGATATAAACACCCCCGGCCCCAAGATCCCAGCTGGAGGGTTCAATATCCATGAACCAGTGACGAACACCGGAGCTATTGTAAAGCAAACAAAGCAGACCAAAAAGGCAAAGAAGAAGAAGAAGAAGAGAGAGAGAGAGAGGGGCAAGAGGGGACGAAGAAGCAGCTAAAAAGTGAAAGAAACCAAAATAAAAAGAAATGTTCAAATTTCCACACACCAGCGTGAATTATGAAAGGCGTTACAGAACAGTCACCGGAGTTGAATTACCAATGTGCCCTTCAGAGGACATCGCCGAACATATACATACGGGGAGTTCGGACTGATTAGGGTTTGGAGAAGGCGATTCAAAGTCGTTCCCAAATCATGTTAGATTACGTGTTTGCCCATGCTAACATTTGGAAATTACGGTTATACAACATGGTCGGTTGTGAAAATATTGAGAAAAGACAAAGGTTTAATGGGTCATTTTTGGCAGGTGAAGATGAGAGAATCTTGAAAGCTTATAGGCAAAAGCAATGGCGAGAAAATCGAATCTTAAAGGGATGGAAGAAAGATCGGTGTAGATTTATTTTCATTTTTTTTATTAGCTTTGCCGGTTTGTTAAGAAAATATTTCTTTGACTTGCTTCACCATTCCAATATAATTCGTATACGTGTATGACTAATATTCAAAGAGAAAAGATTGTATACATATGTAAAATGTATGCGTATATATATATATATATATAATTATAAATTGGTGCTCTCTTTATAATTTATATTATATTATTGGATTAGGAAGAGACTATGCATGGCCTTACGTGTAATGCATGGGGCCATTGCTTTCCTCGGTATCATGCTCGATCTCGAGTGAGACTGTACGTTGAGGTTATTTTCGTCATTGTTTTTTTGAAATACTTTAAAAAATCATAATAATTTTAATATTATATATATATATATATATATTATTTAGAGTTTGTTTAGTACAAGGGTTACATATAGATATCATACTTTTCTACGTATTTATAAGTATAATCATAATTTAGTGCACAGTACATGAAATTCTCTATACCCTCTTAATGTTGACGTAAATTTTACGTCATGCCGATGAAAATATATATATCTGTCATGTGAGCTCTGTTTTATTTTATATTATTTATTTAATATAAAAAAGGGTAGAATTAGAAACACAACACAAGCAACCAAACACATGGAATGGAACTTGCCACCTTATAAAATTATAATAATGTTTTCCGAATTTCTTGATTAAGACTTTTGACGCGATATTAAATTTCAATCGTTCCCTAACATTTTGGGTTCCTAAGGTCAATAATGGTGGACCGTTGAATCTTTTTTATTCGACTAAATAAAGAAAATCAATGCATTTTTTTTTAGGGGAAGTCCCAACTCTACCGGTACACAAGATCATGGATTCGAAACCAGTTAAGGTTGAACTTTCCCTTGAGCCGGTTAACTTTGACTGGTTTATCTATTATGCGTGGTTTATCGACTATTGCGTAGGATCGGAAGGTTTACTGTTGTTATACTGATTGTCTAGCATGAGGACTGGGGCAGTCGGAGTCCGACCCGAAAAGCCGTATGGCGGATTCCCACCGTTATAAAGAAAAATAAGGCATTTTTTTCAAATAAAAATAAAACAAAAAAGAGGTGAATAAATGTGTCAGACATCTTATGAAAGATATAATGCAATGACAACAAACGTAATATTAGGATAATCAATCTAATTAGTTTTAAAACATAAAATATTGTAGACAAAACAAATTAACATAATTTTTTTTCCTGTTGTGTTATTGAAACAAACGTAATATATTTTAAATCGATAGATGGATCAACTTCTAGTTTCGAAAGAAAGATTTTTCTAGAGAGTTTGGATCTAAACTTTTTTTTTTGTAATAATTCGAAAGTTCACCGGGTATTGATCTAATTACATTTCTCGAATGAGCGAAAAAATATAAATGAATACATCTCCCCAAATAGAGACTCAAACTTGAATTGAGAAATAATTTTGTTTCATCCCTTACCAGTTGAATTCTAGATCTAAACTTTATCGCAAATTAAGTATAAAAAAAAATTCACATATCGGACTTACATTTTTCAAAAATAAGCGGGGGACCAAAAATTCTGCAAAATTCTAATAAAAATACATATATTCATATAATACGAGTGTTCTCTCTCATGTATCCTTATATATATATATATATATGTCAGTGCAAGAACCATGGAGAGGTTATGTAAATGCCTCTCATGCATGCATGCATGCATGTGTACGCATGTGCATGCGCGTATGATAAGTCACTAGACGGAAGATTTGGTCCCATCATGATCTCTCAATTTGGAACACACTTTTTCACCCCGCAGAATCTCTCGTCTCTTCTCATACATTTAAATATTTTAAAAAAAATTATAAATAAATATTTTCTTTTTCTTCCCCACCCACTTTACTATGCAATTACTTTTTTACAATGTAATGCTTCACACTACCCATACCTTTTTAATATATATATATATTACGAACTTATGTTTTGAATTTTTTTAATTAAATGCAAGGATAGAGAGATGAAATATTATATTTACAATACTAGTTAACCTCGTATATATTATTTAGTTTTAAATTTCCTCGCTTAAGACTGAATATCTGTCTATTTGAATTTTTTTTTCGTCTCATTTTATTGAAAAATCCTTAAATTATTATACCCTTGTGAATTAATTCATTTTTTTACCAACAAATTGTCCCCGAGTCACCTTGACTTTCGGCGATGAATGGAGTTGGAATTGCTTTCTAAATGGGATTATTTATTTTTTATATAATGCAATATATAATTAAAAAAAACCATCCATAAATGGCATGCAGTCAAAACCAAATTTCATTATTAATACCTTTTCCCCGACAGAATGATGGTGGCCACAGTATAAAACAACCCCATGAAAAATAAACAAGCGTAAAAGTTATCATAATAAGAATATAATAACATTCGAATATATCCCTCACAGAACAAACCACATTTTTGGTTTCGGAATAAATAAAGTTTAAAAAAAAAATCTTTGTTACATGTAGCTGAAAAATAAATTCCATATATATAATCTAAATTGGTAACACATTCAATTTTTGAAAGTATTTTTATTTTTGATTATCGGTGTACATAACTAATTTTAAATCAATATGTACAAAAGGTATACCTGAAGATTTATGTAGAATTGAAACAGCAAATTAAATTAATGTACTAATAAACTTATTTATTTATTTTCTTTTCTTAAAATTTAAAATTTATTAAATTAATGTATAAAATGATTTGTAGAAATTAAAGGTCCAAAAGTTTCGGCGTTTGTTTGATGGCGACTTTAGGGCGTTTCGAACCATACCGAACCGGAGTATTTTTTTTATTTGAACCCTCTAAAATTTTCTACCGGTATTAATTTTAGAAAATTTTAATTTTCTAAAATCGAACCAAACCGAATTTTAAAAGACCCAAAACACCATCTTTTAAAAATATCTATCTTTAATAAAAAAAAAAACAGAACCAAATATATTATAATAACCAATTAGTACCTGTTTTTGTCAAACCGAAAGAATCGGATCGAAAATATCAAAACCGAATACCGAAACGAGCATCCTAAATGGTGTGATATAAAGAATAAGTTAAGAACTTTACTAATACAAACAAACATACTTGGAAAAATATTTTTTTTCTTAAATTTTCAGTTTATACTTTCAAAGTTTATAAAATCTGTTTTTTTGTATTGTCTGTAAACTATTTTTCACACACTTCACAAAAATAAGTTTAAGAATAAATCAGCGGCGCAAAAAATAAAATAAAACGAGTGCAATTAATTAAATAACAATGCACAGAAACACAAAATCAAATCAGAAGGAAGATTTTCATATCATTTGGAAAGTTGCTTTCACCATCAAAATTGAAATTAATAAATAAATAAATAAATAAATTAGGGAAATGGGGACACCTCTACCCATATATCACATATACGTACCAAACCACGTCAATAGATGATCATTTCACAATCATGACGTTTTAATTTTGAATTAATAACAATTCCAATAAAAATACTATATTTTTTTTTATAAGTCTAATAAAAGAGAGATAACCCATTAGTTTGTAAAGATCGTATAATGTTGAGGTTTTCATAATGAGGTCTTAATCTTAGTGGTCGGCATAATAATAATAATAATAATAATAATAATAATAATAATAATAATAATAATAATAACAACAACAACAACAAATCTTATTATGGAAAATTCGTGCTATGTGAAGATAAGTGAAATACTCCATTCACAAATGAAATGGTATTATAAAATAATCTTAACTGGAGATCGTTAAAAAAATAGTATAAAGTTGTGGAAATGTGAATAATTAATGTATATTAAATTATTCATGTGGCTTTCCGTATGTGTGATATATATTTTTTTGTAATAAATTATTTTTAGTTTGTAGAAAAAAGATATAACCTATATATATAGAAGCAAGCAGATATATACTGAGTAGAAGAGGCACGTATCTCACATATGAAATATATTATACGAAATTTTAGCGATAAAAGAATAAGTTTGATCAATTTTATATATATATATATATATACATATATATATATATATATATATATATGTCATATGTGATAAAATAAAATTTTGGATCCATAGTTGTCGAGGTTAAAGTGAGCATATAATTTACACACACACACGTGAAACGAGTGGGACAAGGAAGAAGTGGAGAAGCCTTTGGTTTTATCTTTATGTAAAGGTGTGATTTATCGCTAAAGTTATTATAGGAAGTTTCTCATCATGAATTCTTTATTAAAAGGTAACATTTTGGACCGACACATAATATACATACATATATATATATAAAGAAGATAATATATGGTTAGGCACTATATATATATGATAGGGGATAAATCCTTACGAAAATAAAAATATATATATTTACGTAACCAAACTTTTTTTTGCTTGCTTTTCTGTCTTTTCTTTTGAAAATTGAAGCTACTTTTATCTTCGTTATTTTTTTATGCGTAAGTCTCAAGTTGAGAGTTCGACCCTATCCTATAGATATATTTTCTTTCATAATCGTTCACCGGATTTTTGGTCCGACTACATCTCTTAGAGGACCAGAAAAACTCAGGTGAATACCTCTCCCCACGCTTAGATTTAAATTCAGGGTGAGAGCATGGTTTGCATGTTCTCTCACCACTAGCTCATCCAAGCTTGGGTATTTTTTTTTATTCTTTTAAAAGATAGAAAAAACAGTTTCAAAATTTAATTTATACTCATTTTAATATTTGATTTTTTCAACATATGGATTTTTTTTTCTTGAGAACATATTCTATTGCCATTGGATGTCTATAAAAAAAAATCTGGGATACAATACAACATACTAGAATTAACCCATTATCACGTAGGGATTTTATGGAATAATAATACACCACTGCAAAATATTAAAAATATATGTTCAGATTAAAAATATTGTACTAAAATAAATCACTAGATGTTTTATGTTAGTTATATCATTTATGACGTCACGTCGAATATTTTCATCAATCAAATATTTAAATATGTTGGGAAGATAGAAGATTAAAAAGTGTCAGCGAGAGAATTACATAAGATATCGAAATGCATTTTCTAAGGAAAATTATTTAAAATTTTATGCATTCCCTATTTAAAGGCACAATAAAAATGCACCCATCAATTACTTTCTGATCCCACTGACGGATCATTAGAGAATCACACATATTAGAATTAGAAATAACCGATTTGTTAATAGTCCATTAACCAAATCAAATAAATTGAATGGTTATATATTTTTTAAAACTTAAAAAATTGAATTTGAACCGAATTGAATAAAAAAAATAATAGACAAAACTTAAAAATTGTTAGAAAAATAAATATTTTTATCATTAAAAATTGAACCAAAACTTAATTCTATATAAAACTGGAATAGCTAAATTTGAATATAAACCGTATCAAAATTCGAAATGACCGATGCTAATTAGAGTCGGTGACCTTTTCTGAATCTGACTCAGAGAACGATAATATATGATCTTATGAAATGACAATTTTTCCTCATGTTTTTGGTTATTGAAGGGTCAATTAGGGATGGGTCAATCGGATTTCGGTTTACTTATATTCACATTCGATTATTTCGGTTTTAAAAAAATTATAATCGTTCAGTTTTTATATTAAATTTAGTTCGGTTCAGGTTCAATTATGATAAAATAATCATTTTCTTAAAAAAGATTACAGTTTTTTGGTTATGTTTTTTGTTCGGTTCGATTTAAATTTTATTTTAGAGAAATCATAACCATTCGGTTTTATATCTAATTCGGATCGATTATGATTATGCGTTACTCGGTTCATATTATTTCAGTTATTAACCAAATAAGTCACCCTAGGGGGCAATACATTATACATGTATGATGATTCATGAAAATATTATGTATCTATTCAAAGGGTTTTACACCCTAACCAACTCTAGATTTTAACCTCAAGAGTCAGAGAACATCTCTAGAGACTGTCTTCATCCTCAGAACTCGGGTTTTTCGCTTCGCCGACAGATGAAGCACCCGAGAAAGATGACGGATTTGTGTTATCCGGTGCGTTTATTACATCATCGGTGGAGTATGGAGTTACAGAGTTAACTCCATTGCCGGAAGCAGCAGGGACAGAAGCTGGAGCTCGTTTTATGGTTGCGGGCTTTGGAGAAATGAGTCCTTGTGCTTCCATGGCTTCTCGGGCCGCTCTCTCTTTCGCTCTCTTTGCTCTTTCAAGCACTGCTTCCTGCAATTACCGCAACCCGAAACGTAAAAATCGAGATACCAACGTGAATATTAACCGCATTTTACAACAAACAAATTAGTATGATAGATAATCTACCTACCAGTGTCATTAGAACCAGGGAGCTATACAAACCATGTCGCTAAAACGAATAGCTACGAGAGAATTTCGGGACCGATTCAGAAGGATTGGAATGTATATTCTACACTGCTGAATAGAAAGAATCACAAATCTTTGACGTGAACTCGAGTACCTGAATCTCTTGAACTTGCTTCTGCTGCTCGGCTTGAAATCTT